TTTGACTACACTGCTAAGGGGTAAATAAGTTAAATTGATCTTTCACTCATAAATAAGTAATTTTTTCACTTATTCGTTTGCCAGTGTCACTTGGCGTCATTGTGTCACATTGCGTCATTCTGAGTGCTGTGCGTCAAAAAGTTTACCGGTTTTCGAATGAATAAATATAGGTAATTATAAACATTTATATATTAGTAAGTATACTATTAAAAAATAAAATTTATTTTAACCTACATTTCAGTTTAATAATAAGAATATTTCATCTGTAAATGTCTACGTATCGTTTTTCATGTCCCTATAAGTTTAAGGTTATATTTTATGCTTTCTTTAAAAAAACTTATACTTTTTAAGTAGTAAATGTAACATTTTTAGTTCCACAGTTTCCACATTATATTATACGTTATATTGAAAAATTTATAAAGAGTTTACAGATATATACTTTATTGTTTTGAAACAATTGTCATTATTTGTGTTACAGGATTGCTACAGTATGCTTCAAGTCAAAAATTTAAATTGCCAGCAGTTAATTGCGGAATTAAAAAATTGCGGTGTTGATGAAGTATTATTTAATATTAATTTAATAATTTATAAAAAAAGTTATTTTTTTCGTTTCATCGTATATTTACATATGAATATATTTATATATTTTTATTTAACTGTTCTTACTATCACAAATTTAAAATAAATTAAAATGAATTACTGAAAAAATAATAAGCTGTAAGCTTTCCTTTACTTCAATTTATTCATGAACTAGAGTAAACAATAAATCTCTGCTAATAAATTGTTAGACAATTCAATTAAAAAATTGAAACAATGCATATACTCTCGAATTGATTAATCTGAAATGAATTGGCTAAGAGAAATTTAATCAAATTTTTTTATGTTGATATAACCTAAAAATGAATTTAACTAATAATGACTTGTTTTCCCTAAACGATTATCAAAAATGTTATTCTTTAAAGATGTGGCTGCCTTTTTACTAGTCAACTAAAATTTGAAAAATTTCAAATTTTAGTTAATACTGATTTTCAATATTTTCTACTAATTTTCCTACATAAAACAGTTCACTTATTTAAAAGTGCATATTTCACTTATTTAAAAGTGAATCTTGCACTTATTTCATAAGTGAACTGTTTTTCACTCATGTAATGTGTGAATATTCACTAATTAAGAGAGGACGACTTATAACGTTTGAAATAAGTGAATATTCACTTTCAATAAGTGAATTTTCACTGATTCAGTTTTAGAGAGCAAGTGACTTATTAGGGTATACGACAATTTTTGTCTATTACAAATGTATGTAAATCTCATGATTATAATAGAAAATTAAAATGTTTTAAAAACAATTTTGCGCTGTCAAGCAAAATTAAAGTAAAAAAAAATTATACAAAAACATATGCTCTTCCTTCCTTCTTCTTCCTTCCCTTATGTTTTAGAAGAATGAGAAAAACAAGGAAAATGAAAAGACCGGCGTTATATTATGGCGACATATTGAATGTTAAAAGCTTTTTAGTAATTTGTTGTAAAAGTTTTTAAAACATTTTTAATAAAAAGTATTGATAAATTCAGTTTAAAACATATAATTTAATAAAATATATGTAATATATGTCGAGATTACATTCTCTACATTGAGTGCCCACGTGCAGTGTAAATTTTTCATAAATTAGTGTTAATATTATAATAAATAGTGTTTTGATTTAAAAAAAACTGTACATAAATTTAAAATTTAGTTAATAGAATAAACATTTGTGTATGTGTATATATTATTATTATTTTTTTTTTGCTTAGGGACTTTTGGGAAATCTGCCTACAGATACCTTGGATTCCGAACTCCAAGGTTATGTGGGGTTGGTATGATAAAACAAAAGGAAATTAAAAAAAAAAATAAATAAATATATATTATAGTAAATTTAATAAACTGGCGACCTACTATCAGCCCGACCCACTAAAACCCGTAACCCTTCTTCTGGAGCCCTTTACCCTCCCTCGGAACTGTCGTAAGACTTTAGCCTTCGAGGGTGGCGCTCCAACTCTGTCGCTAATGCGACCTTCTTCTTCTCTCTGCGGTTTTCCTGCGTCCATAGTTAAAAATTTAAAACCATTTCAATATAAAAGCGGAATTAACAGCACAACAGTAATAAAAAAAACAAATGTTTAATTAAGTGTAAACAGTCAAAAGATAAAATTGCAAACGGATATATAAAAAAAAGAAAAAAAACGCGTATATAATATTGAAAACATAAAACAAATTAAAAAAATGTAGAAGGACAAGTAAATCACAAAATAAATTAATAAGAAAAAACAAACAAATTAAAAGCTGTTTAAATTACGCTTTCTGGCGGCCGTCAAAATCCTTCCTCGACATAACCGAGATTATGAAGTTCTCGACTTGCCGCCAATTCTTCTCTGACTGGGTCATCAGCGATACCATGTTCTCCGGTGTAACTTGACTGTTTACACCTTCGAACATGGCCTGCCTCTCCAAGTCCCATTTCTTGCATGAGAAGAGGGTGTGCTCCGCGTTGTCCTCAGAGAACTGGCAATATGCACACACCTCGTCCTCGCGTAATTTAAAGCGACACAGGTACGAGTTAAAACACCCATGACCTGTGAGCGCCTGAGTCATATAATAGGAAACCTGACCGTGTTTCCTATTTATCCAGGTGGCGAGTGCCGGGATAAGGCGATAAGTCCATCGACCTTTTTCCTCACCATCCCATCTTTCTTGCCATCTTTCTATGAGCCTGTGCCTCGCTTCTTTGCGGATCAGGCCCTTGCTTGGTCTTAATTCCTCATCCAAGGAACTTCTTTCTTTAGAAAAGAGAAACATTTCTTCCCTTTCCCTCGCCAAAAGATCTGCTGGCGGGACACTTGCAAGGACCTGCACAGCACTCGTAGATACCGTCTTATATGCAGAGATGATACGCGTTGTTATCGATTTCTGCGCAGACAGTATCTTTTCACAGATGGTCACACATCTTTTACTCCTCAGGGATGGGGCCCACGCTGGTGCTGCATAGAGCATTTTAGCGTGGGCGACACTCGCCACCAGTCTTCTTTTTTGTTCACGGGGTCCGCCAACATTTGGCATTAGCCGTGAAAGATTAGCCGCACACTCGATCGCCTTATTTGACGCCGTAGCCATGTGGTGATGGAAGTTTAACCTTCCATCCAACTCCACACCAAGGTATTTAATTTGTTTACTCCACTTGACCTCGAATCCGTCTATCACGATTCGTGGGAGCTCATAACCACGTCTGTCTGTGACCAGCAGTGCCTCGGTCTTTTCCAGGGCCATTTTAGACGATGCGATCGTTAGATCTATAATCGATCCGATCGCACCTCGTCTAAACGTCCATGTTTTTCCCCGGTTTACAACTAATAAATCGTTCTTGGAGATCATTTCTCCAATCAGAATTCCTCTCTTGTCGAGCCTCGTCTCACCCCACTCTGGCGACTTTGCATTAAAATCGCCAGTGATGATGACATCCAGCTTGGATTCTATGAGGCTCGATTCTAGGTCTTCTATATTGGCTTCGAAGGTGGTCAGCGGGTCGTTGGGTGAGAAGTAGCAGGTATACATACGTATATTAGCCACCTCTATCCACACAAACCCGCTGCTTGTCTCCAAGAACTTGTCAACCCGCAATTCTGGGTTGCACAGCTTGATGGCGGCTCTCTTCGCCTTATCCTGATACCAAGGTGCGAGGTCGCTTCCTTGATACTGCTCACTGCAGAACAGGATATCGACCTCATTTTCCCTAGCTGTTTGCACCAGGAGCACCTGTGCATCCTTACTTGTATGCAGGTTGACTTGAAGGAGCTTTAGGGATTTGCCCTTTTAAGTTTCTCCAGTTCCTCCTTGTAAACCGGGCAGGAAATTCTTCCAGGGATATGGTTGACTTCCGTTTTTCCCAAATCTGTACACGTAATGCACTTTGGCTTGTCGCCAGTACAACTCTTGGCGAAATGTCCCGCTTCGCCGCATCTCCGACAGTTTTTTGTTCTGTCGGGGCCCTTGCAAATTCGGGTCACGTGTCCATAGGCTAGGCACTTTTGACATCTTGTCACTTCTAAGTGCGTTCGGATGGATGCGTTTATCCAACCAATACGCACTTTGCCTAGCTTAAGCAGACTCTTGCTGTCCGTTTCACTCAAGCGTACTAGTGCCACTTTCGTACCACCAATACGTGACAGAAGTCGGCAAGTCACATCTAACTCGGGCTTTTGCAACTTCTGCTTTAAGACGGTTAAAACGTCCTCTTCTGAAGTTGTTTCGTCAAGTTCCCGAATTTCGAGGGTCTTTTTACTGATAAGAGCCGTAACCTCGGCCTTGTCCTGAAGAACGGAGGTAAGATTCTGAGCGAAATTTGAAGTTTCACCCCCCTTTTTTACCACAACGAGAACCTCCTTTTTAAGAGTTCTCCTAATTTTCACAATCTCTGTGCCAGTTTCCTCTGGATTTACCGAAGTTGTTGCCAGCTTTATAAGATCATAGTAGGTCTCTGGATTCCGGGCCGAAATTTTTATTGCCTCCGTTGTTCTAATTTTGGGGGGGCGCTTCTGAAGTCGCTCCCTCTCCTCCGCTTTCTTCAAGGCCTTTCTCTTACGGGCATCCCGTTTCTTATTGGAGACGGTTTCAAAGTCTTTTTCGTTTTCAGGCTTATTTTCCACAGTTGCCTCCGAATAAGAAGCAATCTTGGCCGAAGCAGCCTTACTCACCTCCGTCTCCATAACAGTAGGGTTTGGCTTGGTCTCCTTGCTCTTAACCCTCTTACCCTTGGGAGTGGTCACAGTAGAATCAGTCTCCGGACCTTCATACTCTCTAGGGCGCTTCTTTGGGTCGATGGGCTTGCTCTCGCCAGATGTGGCGTGAGACATCGATCTAGGAATTTATATATATATATATATATATATATATATTTTTATTCATCATAATTTAATCTATTAAAGTGTTTCATTTAAATTAAAAATTTTTTTTTCTTTTTTTTCTTTTTTAGAAAAATAGAGGACCAAATGGAGGACCAAATGGAGAACCAAATGGAGAACCAAATGGAGAACCAAATGGAATCAGAACAACCAATTGTATCTGATGTAGTAATAACTGATATGGATGTTTATGACAGTGAAGCATCAACCATCATTATCAGCAGCTCTGATTCCGAATCAGATGATGACTCTGATGTTTTAGTAATAAACATCAGCGATAAGGAGGTAATTTTTTTATATATTTCTATGCAAATCAGCATTTTCTGTTCCAACAAATTTATATATGGGTGACTTCATTTAAAAGGGAATATTGCTGTCCCCACTTCAAAAATTGACTTGTAGGCTTGTTTTTGCCAATATGAAGCTTTTTCGCGGTAGTTAGTGATGTAATAAATTTATTCTCCAAGTTTGATACCAATTGACAAAATAGAAAACGAGATAACCCATTAGAAACAGGCAAAAATAGGCAGAAATGTCATTACTGTCCCTGTCCCTGGGCTACTTCTGTAAGTTTCAAACGTTCATACTGTTCTCACATGTTCACTGAAACTTGAAAAAAAATTCTGATGGCTTTGTCTACCCTCTAGTCTGATAATTCGAAGCATTTTGACAAAAATTTTTTAATTTTTGTACGCAAATAAAAATCCCGAACAGATGTCCCTCGCTTTTTAAATTTCATCTTGGAAAAAATATGCTTACCTTTGAAGTCTCTTTACAATTTTTTAATCTCACGTATTGGTTTCAGAGTTAAATTTTCTAAAATATTGATTTATAATCTCGAAAATAAAAAAAAATTGGCTCCCTTCGGTTTACTGTTATAATTTGACAGACGGGCAGAAAAATCGGCAGAATATTTCGACTTTTTTTGTCATTGCTGTCCCGTCTGCCCAAAATTCAGGAAATGATGAAAAATAGTTAGGAATAACGAATTTTCAGGTGGATTTGCAAGCATTTTCGAATACCATTGACAGAAATATTTTAAAACACATATTTAATGAATAAAATTTAATTTTCGGCAGAATGTCATTGCTGTCCCTGTCATTACTGTCCCCCATTTTTAGTATAATTTATAGAGTTTGAGAGAAATTAATTGCGTAATGACTTCAGAATGTGATATCTATACGCATGTGTTCGAATTTATGTGTGTATGTGGATATCTATCAACAATTATACGTCAATATTTGAAGACGACATTATTTGTGCAGTATAAAAACCGACAAAGTTGAAAAAGAACAATTTGTTCTCTCTTAAAAATTACGATAAAGTTCTCAAAAACATGCGTCAAATTTAAATTTCTTTTCTGAAAGCAAAATATTTCTTAATTGTTTATGTCTGATTTGTTATTTTTTATTTTAAATTAATGTTAATTACAATAAAATAAATTCTATAATACTCGTTTGCTTTAATTTAACATAGTTCATATCCAAATGTCATTACTGTCCCTCGGTTCAGTTGATGATTTTTGCCCTCGTGATGAAAAATTTTACTGGAAAAAAGGAAAAGTTTGTTTTGTTACGTCTAGTGGGAGGTTATTGAAGAGTTATCATGTAGTTTTGATTAGAAAAGTGTGGATTTTAATACTCTAGCAGAATTTTGAAAGCAGAATCTGAAGTTTTAGAGTCAATTTCTGTCTGCTTCTGTACTTTTCTACTGTTCTACTTGCATACACATAAAAAATCTGTGAAATTATTGTCTGCTCATATCTTTAAAATATGATGAATAATTATTTTGTAATATTCAAGATTATAGATTCTCAATAAAGGTTAATTTGTCAAGGTAAAAATAGGCAGAAAATTGACGGTTTTCTGCCAGAAAATCATTTTTTTTACAAAGTTGTTGTCATGTTATGCTCAGTGAATATTATTTCCGTAATTTTAAATATATAAATAACCCGAAAATAATATTGACAACCCCTTAATTGAAAATTGTGATTCCAACATTCCACGGAGGCAGAATTCCCTTTTATTTGAAGTCACCCATATATATTTTTTTTTTAGGTTGAGGAACTAATGGAATTATATCCTGATATTTATGATGAAGCAAATTTATTGACACCAGAAACACCATCACCATCGTTCATGTCGGAAACATCAGAATCATCATCTGATTCGAAATCATCTTCTGATTCGGATTCTGATGCAGATTTCTATCCAAATATCTCGTTCAGCCGAAATAGACTTGATGAGTGCAAAAAAATGGAAAGAAAAAATAAGGAATCATAGCATTTTCTAGCTAAAGAATTGATCATTAAAAAAATAAGGAATCATAACATTTTCGAGCTAAAGAATTAATCATTAAAAAATAAGGAATCATAACATTTTCTAGCTAAAGAATTAATCATTAAAAAATATAAATTTAATTTTTTAAAATATTCTCTATTTATTGACATATTTATTCTATTTTAGGTTACAATTATTTTCAGGATTCAATTATTTTCAGTATTTTCAGTATTTTCATTATTATTTTTTATTCACATTTAGGTTGACATTATTTTCAGAATTTGATTATTTTCATTATTCTTTTATTCTATTTTAGGTTATAATTATTTTCAGGATTCAATTATTTTCAGTATTTTCAGTATTTTCATTATTATTTTTTATTCACTTTCAGGGGTTAAAAAAGAAGAGTGGGATATTGAAGTAATATACGGCGCTCTCGTGCGGCTAGAGTCATTTTTACATCTTTAACCAGCAGTATGTAAAACTTTATCTGTTACAGAACTTTGATTTTCAAATTTTCTGTAAGATTGTTTTGCATTTTGTAAAGGTTCTTTTAACAGATACTGTATTTTGCAGGTTCTCTTTGTTTTTAATTTATTTTCAAAATTTTTTTACAGGTTTCCTTTTAGCCTGTTTTCATCCACAGAAGTGGATAACGAGTTTATTACTTTTTTACCTGCAAGATTCGTGAAACTGTTTGATGAAGAGCCAAATACCCTGGAGATGATGCAAGAAGCTGCCAATTCAAACAAGTTATACATAAAGTACTTGGGTGGAACGTACAACGCTTTGGAATTTAAATTTCATTAAATTATGGTGGAGTTTTTTTTTTAAATATTGATTTTTATAAAATATAAAATTTTCACATTAATAATAAAAATATATTTATCTATAAATTGGTTTTAATATTATTTTCTTCCCTATTCATGTTAATTTTCAGGTATTAGTTTTAAGTTTTATTTTCAGAAATAGTAAAAATTTAAAAAAAAACTCAAGGAAAAGGTTTTTTAAAATAATGAAAAAGACAGTTGTATTATTATTTTAAATTGTTCATGTTTATTTTTAAACTATTCAATTCTTGTTTTACAAAAAAGTTTCACAATTTTCATAGAATGATTGTAAAGTAGTAAATGTAGAATCAACTTCATCAATTCCTTTTACAGCAGCACTTATATAGCGGTTTGAAGGCTCTAGGAACCATTCTTGAAGATTTTTTACATTTTTCGCAGCACAATTTTCAAAATGAATTGTATGATGTTTACAAATAGTTGACAATTTAGTGTCAAGTTTTTTCAAAGATGGACAGTTAAAATCTTCTAAATTTTTTACATTCAACAAATATTTCTCCAACAAAGTCTTTTTTTCTAAACCTTTAACATAGATAGCACTAGCACCACGTAGTATTCCTTGTAGAAGTGAAGGAAGTTCATCATATGGAACATCTCCAGCTGGCCAATCAATTCCATGGTAATTATGCGTTAACCAACGATTTTCACTTTTGTAGCGTCCAGGCAATGTATTCCAAGCACAAGGAGGTTCAAACAGGAAGACGAGTGATTGAGCATCTAACTGTAGAGGAAGTATCGCCAACTCTTTGAAAACAAATTCGTTATTGGGTTTTTTAAAACCTTGTACATCTACAATGAACTCCATTATGAAATAAAACTAGAATTCTGACTGAAAGCAGCTGTTTTTATACCCAATCACCCCCCTTACATTATCCCCACTACAGCAGTTTCTTGACAACGCCGCTGATTGGTTTATATTGTATGACGCGGTCATGTATGATTAAGCAGTAGGCAGTGGTTTCAGCCGGCATGTTGATTCCTGCTTCAAATTCTAAACGTACATCAACTGACGCTTGTTTTAGAAACTCATTTTGCTTAGAACAATCAATAACAATTAGAGGAAACAGACTTTTAAAAATATCTTTTGTTAAAATAGGTTTTGAATCTTTACCATAATAGGATGATTGAAAATTAGCGTACATTTCATAAAGTAGAGAGTACTGATTTTGATCAAAATTTAGATTTAAATTTCCATAAGGATAATATTGTGAATTTAAAAAGAGTTTAACGTTTGTAATATTACAATGATCAAAATGACAAGCATATTTTTTCCGTTTATCTTTTCTCGCTGTTTGAAATCCAACAATAACATAGCGTGGTTTCTCTAATTGCGTTGATGTTTTAATTTGCCATAAAACTTTTGAACTTGTAGGAATTAGAGGATATTCATACATTTCCCAAGATCTGAAACTTATTGAAATTAATGGATCCTTTTCAATAAATTTTAATAGTTTTATTTTATTATTATCTGCAGGTAAAACGTATGGAACCATCCATTCAAGTTTATTGATGAAAATTTTAAATTCTTCATCACCTCCTTGTCCTGTTTGAAATATAGCATTCATGTCAGAACGTGCTCTTGTTAAAATAAGTTCATGTTTAGCGTTCATAACGATTTTTTTATAATCTTCGGCAAAACCAAAAATCATACTGAGTGGTATAGTGACATCAAAATAGCCATTTTCCAATACAAGTCTTGCATCAGCTGCCATTCTTGAATACCCAGCATTTTCAATAAAATTTAACTGTGTAGGAGTTTGTGAGACATAATTTTTCATAATTGTAGTATGTCCAACGTTTTTGCATCGATCTTTTTTTATTCCATTAAGTTCATAGCGAATTTCATCAAACAAAAAACATACAGCATTATTACTTAAATGCACGTTTTCTGTAAGAGTAATTCCATCATTTTTAGCTAATCTGCCAAAAATGTGTAATGAACTTTTACTAGGTAAAATGCACAAGTCTTGATGTTGTACTGCGATTCGAATTTCATCGCTATTGTTAAAAGATGAAGATGCATACGGTTGATGAGCATGAATTTCATAATGAGCTATGGACTCATCGAAATTCACTGCTGCTGGAATATTGAGAAGTTCGTCCATTTTTGTTGCAACAGCACCCACAAAATATGTAGATTAATTGTCTTGTTTTCGTTTTTTCTTTCCTTGAACTTTCAGACCTAGTTCTTGAAGAAAGAGACGATTCTGTGGTGTTAACACCTTGTAAGATGACTTTAGACTGATTTGACTCTTGCATGTTGGCTGACTTTTATAGTTTCCACCAACAACAGCTCTTTGATTATAAACAATTCCCATTACAAAGACTTTATATGCAATCGAATAGTTATAGTTTCTTCTCTAAAATTTATTAAATCACCATCCTGGTCGACAATTCGCAGCTGTATATTATGTATTGTCTTGGTGGAAATCGGAAGATAAATGACGTGAGCAGGCACTTCCACAATCTTATATCCTGGTGGAACGCTAGGGAAGAATTCATGGATAGTGTGGACTTTTTGATTATTTATGTATGCTCCAGATGTTATATTGCACTCAATTCTAACTGAGTTGACCTTTAGAATAGCTACAGGTAAATCAGAAGTATGTGCTCTATGAGGTGCTAGATGCTGCGATGTAAATCCCAACAATTTACCAATCGAGTCAATAGGTTTAAAATCAATTGGCAAATTTGATTTAACTACACTGCGCAATGTATCATTATTCGGTTTTATACTAATGACAGTTAAGATTTCTACAGAATTTTGTATATAAGATTCAATGTCTTTAATTTCATAACTTCCAGTTGCAATATGAATTATTTGATTTCCAATGTAAAACTTATTATTTCCTCTATCGATATTAGGAATTGAATTAAAAGTCAACAATTCAACAAGACTAAGTACATAACTTTTATTTGAATTTAGTTCTATTGGAGGGAAATATTCAGCTTCAAGAACTGAAGAATTTCCCGTTAACGTTAAAGTAAATGAATCACTCATTTTGCTATCAGATTTTATACTGAAAGCTTACAATAGTTACACACTTTTATATAGGTTAAAGCTACTCTTAATATTTAGTTGATTACATAAAAATTTAAGACACAAGTGCCCACACACAAATGTATCATAATTTTGAAATCTTTCATGATTATATTTTATTAAGCTACCATCACCTAGATAAATGATAAGATCTGTTGGAGGAGCAAGGTTATCAAAACTATCAAAATACATTGTTTCATTTCTAAATTTTTTATATGCTACCCAATGTGTTCCAGCACCTTCTTTATTATCAAGATTAATTATTCCTGATTCATATTGACGAGGACCACTAATAGGTAGTTCATTTCGCATAAAAACACCGCGAAAATAAGGTATTTTTATAGTTTTGGCATACTTCAACAAATCAAAATCAGTTAATGGACGATGAGGTAGCTTCAGAACAAGTTTTTTTTCCTTCTTGTTATTCTCTTCTTCCTTGATGCTCGTTTTTTCTTTCTCGGTGCTCGTTTCTTTCGTTTAACAAATCCTTTTCCTTGAGTGTAAGGTTTAAGATGGAGACCAAGTCCTTGCCGATAAGGTTTAAGGTGTAATCCTTTTCCAAGCAATATAGCTTCCATTGCTTTATTATGACGCTGAGCTTCTGAAAGCTGTTCACTAGCTGTTTTAGCCTTATTAACAGCCCTTGCTATTCCTGAAGCTCCTCCAGCAAGAGCTCCTAAAGCACTAAGTCCAGCAAAAATTGGAACAAGCGGTAGAATTCCACCTACTTTAGTAGGTACAGGAAGAATTCGAGGTGATAAAATTTTAGATTTACCACCAACATTTTTTATTGCTTTTCGTGCACCAATCATAGCTGCTCGAATTGTTTCTTCAGCATTATTACTGGGAACCATACTTTTTCGCGCAGCATCGACAATTTTCCTTAGTGCTATTCTTTTCTTCTTACATATTGTTTTTCTTTTTTTCTTTCTTATGGATGATTTTCTCCTTCTTTTCATCCCCATACCTAATTTAGATTTAGTTTTCATGGTTCCGGAAATAGCTAAAGCAGCTGCTCGTTCACTCACACTAGAATTTTTAGCTGTAACACGTTCCCACGCTTTCTTAGCTAATATTTTATCTGCTTCGTTTCTAGCTTGAATATTTTCTCGATT